TGCATAAAGAATTAAGTATTTCTACAAGGATCGTTACAAAAAACAGCAGTCCCTTTCCCCCATTCCACTATTTCCCCTTCTTTGATAGCTGACTCTTGTTTTTTTACCTACGTATCTCTAAACAACATGCATTTTAATTAATCATTTTTGGAATCATAGCCAACTTTTCCATTCATCTATTCTCCCATTATAATTTATCCTGTACTTTTGACCAGATCAACTGATAGTGTTTGCATCACAACTATTAAGAGCTATTTACACTATATTATGGAGTATACTATGGTTATCTTTCCTTCCTTGTATAATTTGTCCTCCTTGGAGTTAATCATCTTTTATTAAAATTTATTTTTACTTAGCTTTAAAAAAAGACATTTATTTATTTGTTTGTTTATTTACTTGTTTTCAGAGAGAGGGGCAGGGAGGGAGAAAATGAGGGCAAGAAACATTAGTGTGAGAGAGAAACATTAGCTGGCTGCCTCTTGCATGCCCCCAACCAGGGACCAGGCCCACAACCCAGGCTTGTGCCCTGACTGGGAATCGAACCACCAACCTTTGAATTTAGCTTTTTATACATTAGTTACTTTCAAGTTATTCTGACATGTTGCCACCTAGTCAATCCATCATTTTGATAAAATTGCTCATAAAGCCTTCTGACCACCTCTGTCTGGGACAAACTATCCTATGCTGGGATCTCCCGACCTCGCCATTATACTTGGGAGTCCCTTTACTTCTCCTCTGGATTGGATTTCTTCTTTCCCATACACTTATTTTTCTCTCTTGGTTTATTCACTCGTTTTCATAGTGCACATCCTCTTGTAGCTTCATTAAAAAGGATGCATGAGAAGTAAAATTTTTGAGATCACAGATTTCTAAAAACACCCTTACTCTATTACATTCCCACCAGATTGACAGTGTGGCTGAGTAAATTCTAGGTTGAAAATAATTCTCCCCTCAGTCTTGAAGGCACTGCTCATTGGACTGCCATTCAGAAATTTGAAGCTATACTAAATCCTGACCCTTTCTTTGTATATGACTGTTTTCTCCTTCTGGAAGCTTAAAGACTTTTATTTGTCCTTGGTGTTCTGAAATTTCACAATGATGTGCCTTTGTATGGTTCTATCATCCATTATGGTGGGCATTCGGTGGACCCCTCTGATTTGGAAATAAGTCTTTATGAATTTTGGGAAATTATTTTGTTAATGATTTTTCTCCCCTCAACTTACTCTGTTCTCTCCCTGGAACTCCTATTTATTTAGAAATTAGACCTCCTGGGTTCTCCTTAAATGTTATATTGTTTTCTACTATTTTCATCTTGCCGTCACTTTACTTTCTGAGAGCCCTCCTCTCAACTTTATATTTCAAACTATTGAGTTTAACTTTTTTATTATGTTTTTATTTTCCAAGTGGTCTTTCTTTTTGTTTGTTTGCCATAAGAGGGTTCCTTTTGAAAACAGCATCCTTTCCTTGCTTCACAGTCACCTTATCTTCTGTTTCTGGGGAGATTCCGACAGTAAGGCTTTTATCGTTGCTGTTGCTGTTGTTTGCTTTGGTCTAATACATGCATTCCTTGGAAGTCTGGTACTCCCTGACTGTCTGCTCATATGTAAAAGTGGGGAATGCAAAGTTAATAGGCACTCTCAGGACAGGGGATAAAACTTTTAAAGTATGGATCTCACTGCAGAATGACCTGGTCGGGCTATTTCATTAGGGGGAACCCTTTTGTCAGCAAGCTCAGATGGTGTCTTTTAGGCTGGTCAGATTCCCCAGAGCCAACTTGATCGCCTGTCTGGAAAGTGCAGACCTGACTATCAGCACTCTGAAGAACTAAATGGGGAAAGCTGACATCAGAACGCACTCATTCACCTAATCTCCATTGTTTATCAGGCTGGTACTCTGCCCCCAAATGTACCTCATCTCCCCTAATACAGAGACCCTCTATTTTGGCTTTTTAAAGAATAAATCTTTGGTCTTTGCTGAGAATGGGGAAGAGCGTCTAGGGGTCTCTGGCTTTTGAAACAGACTTATTTAGCACATGCTCCTCCACACCCACCTCCCCCTTTAAAAGAGCCGACTGCTGAGCCTTCTGGGGATTCCCCAAGGCACGCGGGCTCCCAGCTTTCCCTTCTGCTGGCACAGGGTGCCATTTTCTTGAGAACCCTAAGTCATTTAACAAACTGCCCATCTGCTCTCCAGCTTCTAACACTTTGTTGCTATTGCCTCCTCTTTTATTTTCTCTATCCTTGTATGAATTTATGTCTTTCTAAGAAATTGCTTTATCGTTCTTTTAGTGTCATTTCAGGAGGGCGTGAGAGCAGATTTCCGTGTTTAATCCATCATTTTTACCTAGATGTTCCTGTGAGGTTTTTATAGGACCAGAGCTGTCTCCTAACTTCAGTGAATCACTCCATGTCAAGAGCATATCCTAGACAATCAAGCCTATCTCGATGCATTTTTGTGTGCAAAAGGTTTGTTTATCCCTTTGTAAAAATTTCTATTTGGTAGCTCTGGTTTCACTTCTGTGCTCCAATTGGTGGTGTCACTTAATATGAGAAAAACATTTTGGTTAAGATTAAGACAGTAACATAAGAAAAGTTAAGAGATACAAGTATTTCTTAAGTACTAGAAAGAACAGAGATTCACAACAGTCCAAATGAAGTCAGAAATAATTCCCCAAAACCACATTTACTCCAGGAGAAAATAGGAATCACCCAACCACTTGGGTACCCACTCAGAAACAGCTAGCCAGGTCTAATGAACATTCTCACCTTACACAATGAGGCACACAGCATCATGGAATGCGCTATAGACACAGTCCTGTATCCAAAAATACTTAATTTTATATACTTCAGGCCTTTACAATTCAGACTGAACACCAACACACTTCTACCCTGACATTACTCTTTATGGTCTATCATGAGGGCATCAAGACTGTAGAACTAGTTTCAGTAAAAATCAGTATCAGAAATCAGACATTTCTTAGTCAATGACAATAACCAGCAATCATGTCAATAAGTGACTCTTACAAGTCCATGTAGGTAGAAAATCAGCACAGATATTCAGTTACCTATTTCTATAGGTACCTCAACCTTGCTGTAAATTTCCATTTTACAGGAGCCTGAGTTTCAGAAGAAAGCCAACATTCTACTAGCCAAGCTGGGAAGGCCAGTAAAAAGCAATGAAGGCAGTAAATACCTGCACTGATCCCCCATGGCGGTCTGCAGCCAAGTGAGACGTCAGGTACGAGGTATTGGTCTGCCGGCTGGGCTGGATTTCCCACTCTCCTCGGCGCTCTGACGATGCAGTCTGCTCAGGCATTAGGAAGCATGAGAGCGAGATATTGAAGGAAAGGTGAAGCAATGGCAAGAAATAACAAAATCAAGTATATCAGCATCCCTGAGGGTTTTGTTTTTGTTTTGGATTTTAAATTAACAACTGCTGCAACGCACTGGGAAAAAGTTAGCTTGGCTACATTCAGTTCCGCCTGATGAACCAATACATGACAGTCTACGTACAACACACCATCCTCACCCAAGACACAGAAAAAAAATCACCAGAAAGAGTAAAACATAAATAAGTAAATAAAAATCAAAAGTCGGAAGCATCTTTTAGCTTCCATATTAATAAAATTTCAGTAGCCACTAAGCAGAATGTTTAGTAGCCACTAAATCAGAATGTTAAGACTGTTGAACAAAGGAATAATCATACTTGTAAATCATTTCCCTGACTATAGATCAATCTATCCATCTAAACAGAGAGCAGTCAATACAGAAAATTCCTAGCATTAGAAATCAAGATAATATGCCTTTTCCTTAAATAGGGAGCCCGCTATTTAACATAAAACTCCAGGAGACTTCAACCCAGACAAAATGAGCTGCGGGAGTGGCTAGAATATGCTTTCTTAAACAAAAGAACGAACAAACAATCTCTTCAAAAGCAGGTTCATAGATAAAGAATATGAAAAGATGGGGGGAGGGGGGAAGAAGGCTATAGTTTCCCCGATTCCTTTAATTAACAGTCCCGAGTCTGGAATCAGAAAAAGTTTAGATGCCATTATGAATTACTTTCTTCTAAAGCAAAAGGCAGATCTTTTATAAGAGGGCTTTCCATTCTAACTCTTTTTGGATTCTGCTTTCACCTTTGCAATCATTCGGGCGCTCTCCACCTCTTTTTTTAAATCTCACGTTATTCTGATCTTGCTCATACGTGACTTTTTTCTGAAGAATCTGTCTAGGCGCCTCTTCCCCTGTGCCAGATGGCTGAGGAGGCGTTAACATGATGCCCAGCTGTAACAGCCCTAAAGCTCTACAAAAATGAAAAACGAGGAGTTGGAGAGGCAGCAATAAAGGGATTAGTAAATCAAATTTTAATTGCTGCTGATATAAACAGCAGCAGGGGCTGTGATATGATATTGCTGCTCTGCACGAAACCAGTAAGAATTCTAGAAATCTTAGAAATGCTCTAAGCTATAAATGTTGTATTCTGTAAAAAAGAAAAGAATGATGAAGCAGTGGTTTAAGGTTCCATGTTCACACTCCCCTTTCTGTTGAAAACAGTTGTTTTAAGCTTACTTATAAGTCACCAAAAAGGTTATCCTTACTTTTTAAAAAAAGCCTCATATACTAGCTGCAGCTTACTCATCTTTGTTAATGGAATATGAAGTCATACGGATAATGGCACTATAAAGGAACCTGGCCATGCTTTCTGATGTTCCTCAATGAATGAGCATATTCTGTAAAAAGGCAGCTGTATTAATTTGTTTGCTATATGCTCTTACAATAGTGGGGTTTGGTTTTATACTGCTAGTCACATTTGAGAGAACCAAAGTTACCCAAAATATACACCCTCTCCAATTATTTCTGCTAACAGGGGTTCAGATGTTTCAGTTTCCAAAATAACACTGTGGTTTATAACATAGTCATAACTGTTTTATATAACTTACTGGCAATGTCCATATCCTCATAGCACTTAATCTCACTATTCTCACTACTAGAGATTTGGGGATAAATCTGTTCTTCTAATATTATAAGTAATATCTATTAGTGATAGCCTCTTCAGTTTTCTTTAGGACTTTTTTTAATTAGCAATAATCGCGCCTGAGATAAACCTCATTGGCTATGATACTGCCACTGCGCAAAGCTCTAGGACTTTTAAAAAATAATAATGTTGAGGCAGACTATTTAAAAGCTCCTTAACTATTATACAGAACTGTCAGTTATCAAAAAATTTAAATGCTTAAAAAATATCCAGATATTGGCCCTGGCTGGTGTAGCTCAGTGGATTGAGCACGGGCCTGCGAACCAGATAATCGCGGTTCGATTCCCAGTCAGGGCACATACCCGGGTTGCAGGCCGGTTCCCTGTAGGCCAGTTCCCAGCAGGGGATGCATGAAAGGCAACCATACATTGATGTTTCTCTCCCTCTCTCCTTCCCTTCCCCTCTAAAGATAAATAAATAAAATCTTTAAAAAAAAAATCCAGACATTTATAAGCCAACGGGGGGTGTTTTGAGTTCTACAATGTGTTCAGTGCAGTTACTTCTCTTATGAGTGCTCTCTATTTTGCAAGAAATGTACATAAAACATACATATGCTTTTAAGCTTAACAAATCTATAGTACTCTGCTAGTGCACAGCTGATCAACTAGTATTTCTTCTTCTTCTTGGCATGGATTTTTTAAAGAAAAATTTATTTACTTTCCGAGAGAGGGAAAGGGAGGGAGGAAAGAGAGGGAGAGAAACATTGATGTGTGGTTGCCTCTCACATGTGGTTGCCCCAACTGGGGACCTGGCCCCCAACCCAGGCATGTGCCATGACTGGGAATTGAACCAAGTGACCCTTTGGTTCTCAGACTGGCACTCGATCCACTGAGCTACAACAGCCAGGGAGGATTTTGCTTTGTTTGCCTGTTTAATAGCTAAGAGTCATTTTGGGTCATGTGTGATAAATGAGGTGGGAGATCACTTTAAAAAACAAAAAAAATGTGTGCTCTAAAGCAATAGAGATGATATTCTTCTGTTTCATGTGAACTAGGTGTAATGAAATTCCCAATCAACTATTATTTCAATTTTTATTGACATACATATCAGAAATCTGGTTTGATATTACTACTATCCTATTCACGGGGCTATGTACTTGTTTATATTCATTCTAGCTAAATAAATAAAAAAGAATCAAGGTATTTGTCTAAATGCAAATATCTGCAAATGCAGATATTTTTCAAAGGGCTAAAACTCACACTTCATTTCCACCCTCAAAGTACTGTGCTACTTATGTTTTAAAGAGAGAAAATGTTAACACTCCCAGTTGCTTCGTAAACACTTCCAACCGTGACAAAGGCAGAGCACACGGCACCGCCCTGTACTACTGCCTTCCAGTGCCTCCTGTGTTCTCTGGAAGCAACAAAACCAATGACAGATGCAAACCGGGGGCTGATAGGTTTATTACTTCGGAAATTGCCTTTTATCCTAACGCTAAGCTCTATGGCTGTTCTTTTCTGGAATTTACGGGCTTGGATTGGTATCTAAAAGTTGGTGCAGTAGGAAGGGTCACTGGCCAGTTTTAGAAAGCAACTAACTGAGCACCTAGGAGCCAGATGAAACCGAGAAATGTCAATAACTACAGTACTCTGCTAGTGCACCTTCCCCTGAAAGGTGTTCTAGGCAATGCTGGGTATGTAGGGGTTATGACTAGGCACAATCAGCACAGGAGCTGGGCAAACTGAAAGGGCATGTAAATGGAAACTGGCATGTGAAAACTTCCCTCTTAGAGATCACTCATGCCCGTACGTGTGTGTACCAAAAAGAGTATCAGGAGCATCTACAGACAGAAGAGCATTCAGCAAAATCAATCTCTGCGTTAATGCAGAGGCAGGGGTCCGCGAGGAGTGTGAATCCCTAAAGGTAGCAGTGAAGCAGTGGGAATTCCTTGGGGGGACACTTCAGAATTTCCAGTTGCAACTGTCTTACCGATGTGGAAATGCTTGGTAATATCCAGTAGGTGAGCGTGGAGACAGCGATCCAGCATGGCATACATCAAAGGCAAAGCTAACAAAAAATACTTCAGGGAAAACACAGAAGCCTGGTGTGAGAAGTCCAAACCACCACCTGTGGCCAGGGAAGAGGAAACCAACTTCTCCCAGAAGCCATTTGGCAGGAATTAAGGGACAAAGGAGAGAAGACACTAACAAGAGCACAGGAAAACAAAGTTTGCAAACACCTCAGATACCACCCTTATCTAGGCCTTAAAAATTATTTCAAATTCTTATTGGAGACAAAGATCCTGAAGCAAAAGGCAGGCAAAACATTTTTCTCCTGTATAGCAAACAAAAACAATCCTATTCTTTACATAAAGCTACTTCGAAAAAATAATTCTGATTACATCTACAAAGAATTTTATCCATTTCAGTATTTATTGCTCCCAAAATACTTTAAAAGTTGCCATCTACACAGAACATCTGGGCCTCCCGTCAGTCTTCTAAGACCTCATTTTATAATTTTCAACTACAATTCATAAGAATAGAGACTGAGCCCTGGCTGGTGTGGCTCAGTGGATTGAGCTCCAGACTGTGAGCCAAAGGGTCACCAGTTTGATTCCCAGTCAGGGCACAGGCCTGGGTTGCAGGGCAGGTCCCCCAGTAGGGGCTGTGCGAGAGGCAACCACACACTGTTGTTTCTTTCCCTCTTTCTCTCTGCTTTCCCCTCTCTCTAGAAGTAAATAAAATCTTAAAAACAAACAGAGACTGCATAGTACCAAAGGTTAGCAATAAACATACTATATTACATTATCTCTTACAACGCTTCCAAGATAAAAAGTTAATGTAATGGGAATAAGATGCAGAAGGAAGAATGGTAAAGGAAGCGCTTTAAGAAAATTTGGGGGTGTAATAAACCTTAGATAGGAAAATTTCAAAAGCTGGCAAGGTTATTGAAATATATACTTTAATGAAAATTAAAACTTCCTCCTATTAAGCTCATAAAATAGAACTAATTTTCCCACGCTGAACAAAGGTTATTCCATGTAACCTGTCATGTGTACTAAAAGTGACTTCCCATATTCTACAATACATACTTGATCATGTATCAGTGACATATGCAAATCATTGATAACTTGGAAGAAATGATTTCCAAGCTCAATGCCACGCAGGCCCACAGAGATGACAGTATCACTTCTGTGGAGCTCAGATAAAAACCACAGGGACCATCCTAGAGGTTTAAAACTCAGTACTTAAACCCTTGCCCTATTCCTACTCAAATGGTGTAAGATACCTTCCCTAGGAAATTATTATTTATCTAGGTGGGATTACTCCAAAATCACCTTCCTACAAGGAAATGCCTCAGGATACAGGGAGTCTGCTGAAATAAAAAATACTGAGGAATGCACGTACAAGAAAACTAGTGAGCAGCAGTGACTAGGTGATAGAATGGGAGAAACTAAGAGAAAGACTGCATTTCGGTTTTTCCTGTGCTTGTTTCAGTGTCCTCCGTGGAGTTAGGACTCCAGAAAGGAGGAGGGACAGGCCCATTCTGCACTGAGCTCCATGCTGGAGCGGGGCAGGGCAACTGTGAAATTTGTACACCTGACCTCCTGCTGGACAGCTGGCAGCAAGTTAAGAAATTGCACATGGGTGGGGAGGCAAATTATCTCTGAGCAAACTCATACACCCCTTCAACCAGCAAACTCTAAACCTCACTGAAAATGAAGTAGTACTCTGTAAAAAGGAAGGGAATATAGAATTAATCACTTTTTAAAAAGGCTACTGGACTTAAAAAAATAATAAAAGATATTTGCCTTATGAAGATCTCTGATCATCATGGCTACTAACAAATGTGGTCTAATTTCCCCTTTGGAAAAGCTATGCTTATAACATTCAGTAAGCACCACAGCACTAAACCACATATTTATCTAAGTCTACATAGTCCTTAAATCTAATCCCTTGGAGTGCAGACACAAACAGGTAAATGTGAAACCATTCTTTTACTGGAGGTACATCTTCTCTAGAACTCAGCATGACTGGACTCATTCCATTTTTGCTATTTATTTCTCATGTGTTTATAAGGTGCTGAGTTAGTTTAAATACAGTTCTAGAAGGATTAGTGCTCAGCTCTGCTGATTTTAGATTCATATTTTCCTACCTAGTCAAAATGGAGAATTTGCAAGTGAATGGTTCATCTAGTAGAAAATTACAAAGTATAAACTCTTTTCCTTAAACATATGCTACACATATAAAAACTAGTAAGCAATCTTTTGAGAGTCAATATTATCAGGGATAGGATACCATGTTTGGAAAAGTTTAATGGTTCTTGATGACCAACAGGACTCATTCCAACCTCAAAACAGATCTGTTCTCCCTAACCTTCTTCTGGGCCAAGTACCCTTTCTTCATGTGCCCACAGAAAAGCAACCAGACAAAAGGAGTCAAGGGGAGAAAAAGAAATGATCGAAATTGCTGAGGCATGGTAGTACATGTCTAAGTAGCATTTACCTGAGTAAGGACTGTCACAAGATTTAAAGTTCTAAAGGAGCAGGAAGCATGTATATCCTAGTTAATGCGGTATTTTATATTTAGTGTGTTGAACAAGCACACTGAATAAAACCCTCAACAGCACAATATACTCTAATGTTAGATCTCTGGACACTGGTAGGTCTTACTTCCTGATCAAAGTGGATCTGAAGAAAATGCAAGGGAAGCTCTGCCAGGTAGAAATAAGCAGAAGTATGAAAGTTTCCATTCCCTTCCCATGGGATGCAGAGTTCTTCAGAGAAGAACCAAAACCATGAAAAGATTTACCGTCTCTGGATCTGGGGAAAGACAAAGAGCCACGGTAAAAGTGACAGAAAAGACTAACCCATGGTAATCTTTCTGAATGGATCTGGTTTTTAGGAATATTTATTCTATCCAATCTCGTGATTTAATTACAGTTTTCTAGCTGGGTAAAAATTAATATTCAAAAATTGTTCTTAAAAAGCTGATATTACCACAGTTTTAAAAGACAGAGCCAACAAAGGTGAGTTTAATGCAGTTCTTTGAGATCTATTACCGCATCTGGGAACCAGACAGTACTCAATCCAAAACACCTACCACCTATACCAAAGCCATTTTCCCCTGGCAATTCTCACTGTGATGGAGAACTAACACAACTG